GTTAACCTCGACCAGACTACACAGCGCAAGAACCCAGAAGACAGAAATCTTCATCCTCACCGCTGTGAAAACCTGAAATCTTACAAAGAAGAACATGTTTTCTGAATTATCACCTAATGTGACACAGAAAAATCGGCCCGTATATATTCCTATGTGTTTAATGAATGTGAGAATACAGAATTTTATTATACTTAATAATAATCACACAGGATCCGTGATATGTTATTTTTTCGCTATTTTGAACTAACAAGAGCTTATAAGTAAAGTTGGTTGTTTGTCCCTTAGAAGACGGGCAGGAGCCTGTAGAGGTCAGTTAAAGAATCGACGTCACTCTATATATTATAAGTATAATGCTCCATTTGATATAAGTTTAGAAAATATTTTTATATAGTTTTATATTATTTTAAAACGATATTATTTTCCTGTTTTGTGCGCTGCTGCGAAAGTGTTAGGTCAGATGTGTTAGTAATTAGGGCGTGAAGAAATTTATTATTGAAATCTTTCAGTCATAAAATGTACTGTAGAAACTTCAAATGCACGCTGCCAAGGTTAGAATTGTGTGTGCTGCTCTGATTTCACATGCAGATGTAGCAGATGTAACTAACTCCATGTAGCGTCAGCACTATACCCCTTTCCCCACCCAACCGGTAAATTGTGTACGAAAACTGTGTTGGTTATGTGTAACGGCTTGGATTATTCCAGACCTTCACATTTAGGGTTTTCATGTTGAAACGTCACTACCTGATACCGCCACGTTTAACGGTGTCATGTTTGACTAATTCCAGGCTTTTTGTGTACTAGAATTGTATTATATTTCAGGGATTGTAATACACAGCACATCCTGTTTGGAAAGTGAAGAGTTTAAAAAGCACCTTATTGATAAAAATAGAAGTTACACTGATGTAATATTATATTAAAAACGCAAGGTAATGATAAGGAACTGGAAGGAAATTGTGATTATGGCCTGAGGACAAAAGAAGAAAAGAAAGAAATAAGAGAAAAGAAGGAAGTACATGTCGACGATAAGACTCAAAAATATGTAAAGTACGGGAGATAACCTTACTTATGGTTGTTGTGCATAGTGATAATTGCCTAAATGACCATTTAAATATTAATGGATCTTTTCTTTTGTTTTCCTGTTTCTTTATTTATAATAAAAAGTAGAATTCATTAATAAAATAATAACACAATTTATTAAAACGTATTGAATTTCTGATACAGAGGTTACAATTGTTATCAATATATAACAATTATGGGAGCATTATATGAGCAATTATGTAGGTATGAAAACATACAAATTATGTGTAAAGGAGTTGTGACGGAAAGTAGTTTAGTTAATTTAATATATTCGCTACAGCTGTTGTTTTTAAGTTATTTATATCATTTGAACTCAATTAATATTATTATTTTAATTTACTAGGAAATTCAACTTCAAGAATGACGGTAAAATCTAAAATTGTACTTAAGAACATGCTACTGTAAAATCTAACAAAGCAATATATAAAAATTCAAATAATTATTTATTTTTGCTTATTAGTACTTTATTTGCTAGTTTATTCGTGTATTCCACTGTGAGAGGGTTAATAATGAATATGTCTGCTGCATGTAGTTAGTTTCATTAAATCATCACGTTTCCTGCAAAAGTAATAAATAATTATATATTTGAAGGTGGAAAATCCTTACACTTTAAGTTTAAAATGTAAAGTTAGAAGCTTACAGTGTCAATTAAAATATAATGTAAAAGATGACTGTCTTCTGGGTTGTTGTGATGCATAGTCTGGTAGAAGTTTACCGACGTTTCAGAGATACTTACTGCCTCTATCGTCAGGTCGATGAGCCATCTTTATGCCCGCCGCCGTGAGGACCTGAAATCTTACAACATACAGAATCTCCGCTTTGTTTAATAACACCAAGAAAGTCTACGTCACAACTTTCCGAGCCTATTATATGGAGAAATGATTTTATCAGTGGGTCATTGCAGGTCATAAATACCTGCTAAGGAAGATAAATCGTGGTGTGCAGGAACAGCGAATAAGCTGCTATACATCAACACACGCTCTGGGTGTTCCGCACCATAACGTTCTATTAATGAGTGAAATCCCCGGCTCTGGGACTAGCGTCCGCTTCAGTTGCTAAAATGGTTGGGTTGTGAAATTCTAGGGCTTTACTACGTCACATGCCTTGTAGTTTTACTTAACTGTGTGTATGTGTCCTTGCCATTGTCAGAAGATTGAGTCTGTGAAAGTAAATTATTATAATATGATAAACATTTTCAATTCACAAAATACTTATATTTGAACCAAGATCATGTTGAAAATTGCATCTGATCTGAAATGCATTTCTCAACTCCGGTAATCAGATGATTTATTGAAATTATAGAAAAATATTTTGCGTTTCAAGATAACAGTGTATCTTTAGAAGATAGATAGGGATCCATGGAAATACCATGCGAGTCTTAAATATATCGAAAAATACGAAACAGGAAGCCATGTAGCAAAGTTAGAGCAGAAGTTCATAAATTTGCATTTGTTTATTTTGTTGAGACGGACATCCAATTAGGCTGTTACAAAAATCAAGCATTTGTTGATATAAATGTAATTGTAATTGTAAAATTCTGGTAGTTAATGTTGTTGTCCTGAAATGTTTGTTCAATGATGGATCCCCCCAAAAGTTGTATACTCATGGTTAATATTCCACATTATTATGCCTTCGAAAAAACAGTTATGTTGTATCACCCTTTCAAATATGCGGCAAGAATGCGACGACGCGAAACCGTTATTTAGCCCGTCAATTTAACGGCAATATGAGAATTTTCGAATATGACATGTAAAACTTGTAACTGCATAAATCATTGTTATATCCACAAATAAAACACCAGCCGTCTTTTTTCTCAAAATTAAAAATGATATGCATGGCAATGTTGTGACATTTTGACTTTGTGTGTAACAGATTTGAGGTATCAAAGTTTATATTACCAGAAATTATTCACACTGATTCTATTATTTTTACTATTCTGCAAGGGTATGAATATGTAGAAGCTACTTTTACAGTTCCGGACTCAATTTATGATTCTGTTACTTTCTTACCACCAACTGGCATTTCTTGAATTCCTTAAAAATTCAACGTTTAAACTTCCACATCCGAGAAAGAATCACTGAATCCATCCACTTGACATATGCCTTCGGCTCCAGGTGGAACTTCTGATCGCTTTCATACATGTGCAGATAGACCTTTCATCTGTGGACATAAAACAGGGATATTTGAAGCACTTTGTAAACTCCCCATATACGATCTTAATCACCTGTTTATCAGTCTATAATGTGTGTTGTGTTGTCTGCTTGGTTGAAGGCATTTAAAATGGTAGTAGTTACATGTCATTCGTCTCAGATTATGTTGTGTTCAGGAACGAATTGAAACCCATTAATATTTTCACATACGTAAATACATTGTAGCGTACGGGTAAAAAGGAAGGCATTTTTTATGATTTACATTTTGACAGTTTAACAGAATAGACTTGAAGCCAATTGAAGTATCGAGAAACATGTGTATTCCATCAGAACCACCACTCCATGTCAATATGAGCGTATCGAGTAATAGTTCCGTAGGTGTCTGTAAAGTAAAAATAGAATTTGAACATTAAGACAAGTTCTCTAAATAATAAACAAAATGTAGAACATACAGTCCATTATGTGTACACTACGTCGTCTTAAAATCGAATTCTTTTCTGTACCCATTCTGTTATATGGACCTTACAAGAAAGAGTAAACCAGCCCTAATGATTCCTCCTCAAACATCATTTCACTGAATGTCTGACTTTACGATGATTGATGGGAATTATTAGCTGGAAATATCATGAAACGACGAGCAAATACTTGTTTGTCTTATTTGAAGAAGCAAACAGCGTATCGCAGTATACGAATGATCAAAGAACCTTTGCTCTGGTTTCGTACAGAATATTTCTGAAGTTAGACTCCAATTAAAATTTGTATTAAAAATAAGAACCAACAAATTTTTGACTAGAATAAAGGCGAAACAATAAAATTCTTAGAACGATACAACAACTCTTGATTATTGTTTCAGTATTTACTACATGTTTCGACTTTAGTTGGTTTTCTAAGTGTTCGAAACTAATAGATGTGACTGCTAATTTGAATGCAAATTTTCTGTTGTTGATTTACTAGGTCATGGACTATGTCTTAAACAGTTTGTCTATTCTAGTAGAGTGGACAAAGTAGGTGTAGTTACAGGTGGAAAGCTGTAGCTGAACAAATATTTGCAACAAGGAATTTCTATTAAGGGATAACTGAACTTAATATTGCGTCGAAGTAGTGAGCTAAGACTTAGCAGATTGCCTGTTAGTTCCTCTTATTATGTTGCCGATATTTTAAATTGAATTTCCGCCAACAGAAAATATAAACTTACGATCTCCTGTAAAAGTAATTTCTTATTTAAAAATGTTAGGTCCACGTTATGTGATGTCAAATTTGGAAACAAGTAACGGATTTATAGGGTAATTTATGTTAATTTAATTATTATCGAAAAAGCTGACAAAATAATAAAACACATTTAGACGTAAATGGCCAAATTAAAACGTTGGGTAGACTCTACTGATCACGGTGTTTTAAGATTTTACTCTTTAAGTCATCTTCTGGATAGTTACTTGCCAGTATAGACTGTGGTCTTACGTGTCTTCTAACTTTACAAGGAATCTAAAATTAAGGAATTTTAAGTATCTATTGACATGGAGAAAAGCCACTTTTGGGGAATTTATTATCGCTCTCACATGGTCAAGGAATTTCATCCTTCAATAGAACTCATTGGTATTACCGAGTCATAAATAACAAAACGGGATGCTAGGTAGAAGGTAAAATTAAGAACAAGGATTGATTCATAATATCTGCAGTTACTATTGCTTATACTTCCTGCTAATTTCAATGTATCCGCTGAAGTATTTAAAGGTAAATGGGCAGCATAAGTTTGTCCCAGAAATTATAATATAGATGTTCTTTATTTGTGATGGTTTGGAGATTACATCGGCAACCACAGTTCTGCCCCTCGTCATAAAGAACGGCACTGTAAGCAACGTGGTTTTAGACTGTGACTACGTCTTGAATGCCGACGACTACGCGTCTAACAGAAAGAATCCAGGGGCTCTCGTTGTGAAATGGTTCTTCAACAACCACCCGACGCCAGTGTACCAATGGATACACTCGAAGAAACCGCAAGGACTGGGCATTCTGAACGGCAAGCTGAATCTCGAGTACCGAATCTCGGACGACAACGCGACCATGTACCGCGCACTGCAGATCATCAATCCCACGACCGAACTCTCTGGCGAATACAAGTGCACTGTGTCTACCTTTAACGACGAGAGATCGCAGACAAGAAAAATGATTGTATACGGTAAGTCTCGTCCCTTGACCAAGATTCTCTTGGAATAATTTACTTCTTATCAAGAACTCATCAATTTTCATGTTTGGATCACCTAGTTTAACATGCATACTCAGTGCTACGTTTCTAGATTGATATTTCGACACAAAATGACCCTAATATGTAGGCTGGAGATTAACATCAACGGAATTAATTTTGCAAAATAATTATGGTCTTACCTTCTTACAAGAGGATAAAGGAAAGCTTCTCCGGAAGGAACTCATAAGGAGTAGAGTAAGTGTAGTTCCTACTCGTTTCAACTTTGACACTAAAAGTGGGCGGTCAACGTTAACCCCGACAGCTTATGACACTTGATGAAGGAACCTCCTGTAAACATTAGGGAGGAAAATGGGAAGCCCCACAGTCGTGAAAGTCTTATGCAATGTAGTTCGTACGCAGGGTAAACTATAGACTTTAAATAATTTTACAAAAATGGCCTACCTATTAAATGCTTGTTATTGTGTTCTTTAATACACTGTTGAAAATCGTTAAATAGCTTTTTACCTTCGGCTTAAACTTATATATTTACTTACGCATGAAAACTATTGTAACATAGTGCACAGACAGAGAATATTTTTAATTGTCCCGAGTTAAATATTTGTAATATTAAATTATTTCAAACAAAAGCCGTAAATCTGCATAATTTCCGTATTTTATATTAACGAAATATTTTTGTGCTGTGTTCCTGTCTTCAGAGGATGAATGAACTTCAATTTGAACTCCATATGGAGTAGGCGTTGTATAGGATCAGCATAAATGAAAATTAAATTTGTCCATCAAATTTTAATTGAAATCTGTTGAGTAATTTCGTCGTATTTCTCTGTTTGCTTTCACTTTTTGCTGAACATGCAATTAGACAAATGTGCACCATAAACGTGTAATATAATTCATTCCTAAAGCGTCCTCTTTTTTTCCATTTATTATATTTTAGGCCTTAAAATTACGAAAAGAGGTAACCGAAAGCAAATAAGCAGAAAGTCCACATTTCCTTTTTCTATTAGCTATGGATGAAAGCTACCAGTTGTATCTTGCTGAAATTAAACAAATGTGTACTTTTTTCGTACTGCGAAGACTCTTGTCGATGATATAAAACCACTGGACACGGCCCTATTTTAGTGCTCCGGATTAGGGTGATAATCCAGCTACAGGTATTTGCTGAGTTTACTGTTTGCATTGAACAGGAACAGGACAGGAATGCAACGAATCACCTCCATAGGATATTTGCTATTCTGAATATGTAGAATTCCAGTTATCGTTAAGTATCCTTGTGTATGCGGGGAGAATGTTCAGAATTTTATATTCAATCAAACTGGAGTTAATTCATTGTAGTATTTTGCCTCTTGCATTCTAGTTTTATGATGGCCATTGAGGTCCTGTTACTAGGCACAGTGGAAACTATAAATTTCAGGCTTCTGTACACACTGTGCTAGAAACATCAAGCACTTTAAATGTTCTAAGTCCAAACAGGAAGTGGTGTAAGGGTGCAGCTGCTATTCTTGTATTTATCTGTATGTGGCATTTCTGTGACATCTATTAATTGCAATGATTTATGATAAAATACTATTAAGGAAGGACACCAATATGTCTGCCTAATTTTAAGAAAAAATGTTAATGACCATTCTGAGTCCCATGACGAATTCTGACGAAGAAGTCTAGCTAATGGCTATATTTTTGCTGAGTTGGCCGGATTCCCCTGTATCCAACTCGCTAGGATTGGGGACGGATGTGGAAGTCAAGATTATGTTTGTAAGTTGGAATGAAGTCGTCTCCATACTTTTTATTATTAAACGTGGTACGTTCCCATGCGTGAATCATCCATCATCACGAACACAGGGGTCATGATTTTTGGAAATCTCATGTAGCACGTGCAGTTACACTGCTAAATGACCATCATAAAATTAAAGTCTAACAGAAGGTTATGTGAAATATTATACCAAATAATATTTCTCTGCTTAGGGAATGCGTGTTGTCGTTTCCCTGAATAGTCGCATTGTGGTGTATATATATGTGAGCGTGGATAATTATGTCATCATCCCTTCACTTTTCATAATTAAAGTTCCATTGTAATAACACAAATTGCTATACGTTGTTCAAAACTAAGAGATTGTTTAAATTACGTATCGTATGATGTCCGGACAAAATATATACTCATTACTTTTCTTCCAGTCATTACCTAGTTACAATTTTTGTGCAGGCTGACATAAGTTCTGTAGGGATGTCTTGTGTTCATTTTGATTAGGTTGAGTTAGGAAAGGTTAAGACCTTCATATTTTGGTATCAATTTCCATTTGCTCTTAGTATAAATTCTATACGGAATTTTGAAACGTATTTAAATAAAATAGAAGTGCATAATTGTAATTAGTATTTGTACAAATACAACACAATTATCAGATCTTTAACTCACAATTTTAAACATAACTTCAACACTAGTCCCCTACTCCAACAGCTTGCGTGTCAGGAACACGGCTATCTCAGCGAATTATAGCGCTCAGTCCCGTGTTTCATCAGAATTCATCACGACATTCAGAAATGTGAAGGTAATTGACAATAGTTTAGGCGTTTCCTCAAATTAGACGGACATGTTGCTGTCCTTGCTTATTAGAAATATGAAAGGCAGAGAAAAGCTAAATATGGTTAATTACAATCAGATTACGAATGACTGGAATTATGACGTCAGCTGTACGTTTACATCACTTCCGGTTCGTATTTTGAAAATTTCAAGCGCTCTTTTTGTTGCACAGGTTGTACGTTATATTTTAAGACGAAAAGGAAATGTTGAAAACACTCCAAACCATTTTGTTTCATGTAGACCCGAAGGCACTGGTGTAACTGAAAAGCACAGATATACTTCGTAGATTTTAAAAGGAAAGTAATTTATTTATTCATTTTCTTTTTTTGTAACATACATCATTTCCTATGGTTTCCTTTACCAAATGGGCAGCAGACTAATACAGTGATGTGTAGTTTGTGTAGAATATTCACATGAATTTAAGTTACGTTATGTGCCATGGCACGTGCGTTTTGATGCATACTGCCGTAGAATAAGGAAACACGTGGAAATGTTCCGTTATACTCTTTATGCTGTTTCTATATTATCATTCACAATAAGGCTCATATTTTATAGACCAGTGACCACTGTGCGTGATTTGAAAACAGAATCTTAGGGGATAACGTAACATCCCCTTTATTCTCCCTACCAAATTAGCCGTCTATATGCAGTCTTTCCGTCTTGCTTACAACAGCTCGCTGTGTTCTAAAACGTCCATGAGCGTTTTCGACAATGGCATTGCGATACAGAGCTCACGAGTGGTCTACAAGATTTCCTGTGAAGCTTCTTCGACGGTCGTTGAGACTCGTTCGTGCAGAAAACCATCCTTCACAAAACACTGTAAATCAGCCCGAAATTTTATGTGTACGGAAACTACTGTGCCGTAATTTGAAATGTAAGACCCAGCAGAGCAAAGACATCTGAGTGGAAAGTCGAAATTTCAAATCTAGCCTCCCTTAATGCTGTGCGTCATTTTAGGACAAAATGTATTTAGTGTGTGTTGAACCAGCGACGTATCATTCTTGTCTCATTACACACTCCCTTTCCAGAAATTTATAAATGATTATCATCGTACTTGTTCTTTTCTTCTCGGTTTCAAGAAAGGGAAGGGGATATCGAAAAAACGTTACAGAGCCATGATGATAAATTTCTCACCATTTCTTCTTTTATATTTCCTCTTCTGTTTGTAGTGTTTATCTACTACACCTTGCGGTAACATTTCTAAGGCAGGTCACATAAGAGAATAATAATTTTTCTCAGTATCGAAAAGTCAGCGTAGTGTAAACCATAAATAAAACACTGGCGGTAGTTTTTCACTGTCATTCGAAGAACGAAGAGTGAATTGCAGGAGGGGTATCTCCCCTCCGACACTCAATGAGATAATGTGCCTTAGCCTCGTCCCATTGGCTTCCGCTCGTATCTGTACCCACACATTCACATACCTGTACTTTAAATCTTTATACGGAGAAAGGTTAACATTTTATTTAATGTTGCATTTCCGCCAATCACACGGGAGTTACGACACTGATAAATACTCCATTACAGTCCAAGAAGAGTGAACAAATGGATACTTTACTTCCTGTATCGCGTAGAAGAAATTGCTAAGAAATGTCTGTTGGACAACGCAACATAAGCTTTCAAAGCATTGTTAGTATTGTACGTAATTTTGAGATTAAATAATATAAAATTTAATCTACGTTCTCTGCTTCGAAGGACTGAATTTTCTCCATCTTCAAGTGAAAATGGGGGAGACGTGGTCTTTTCCGATCTGGTGGTCGGTGGGTAAAGTCAAAAAGAAAGAAATTAAGAAATATGTCACCATCGCCAGAGACATTCATAGCCAAATGTCGCTGTTGCGTGGTTATCACGTATGCTTCATATTCAGCATCCCAGCTTTAAATAAATATAATGGGTGGAATATGTAGCATGCATGAAGACTGAGTCAGACAAACATTTTTAGTCTTAAAACCTGACGGGAAGAAATCATTTGGAAGAATGAGTGTAGAAGTGAGGATACTGTCGAGTAGGGGGCTCTTGCCAACAAAAAAAGCAATTTTCATGTATATTTCGGGTGCATTTGCATAAGAATGTCTGGACTAGCTGAATAGTTACTTACCAAGAAGATGTTTGTCTTCTTATTGCGTTACGAATACCACTAACACTGTGTTCTTCCTTTCAGTTCCCGAGAAGAGTTTGGTGTTGACGCATACCAAGCTGAGTGAACACGATGCTGTGAATATCACGTGTAAAGCTGAAGGCGTTTTTCCGGAGCCTCAGCTAGACATTAACAGCAAGGAACGGTAAGTCCGAATGTGTGAATCGATGTTTGTTCTTTGTAGTAATAATGCCACAAGACAGCTGTCAGGTCTGTGTATCAGGAAGCAGTCCTTAGGCTGGTTCTTCTGAAATCAGTGATGAACCTTTGGCTTTCATAAAAGACGAGGAAATTTATTGACTAACTAAGCGACTGGTATCTTCTCAAGAAGGACTTTTCTCCTTGGAATTAGTTATAATTATAACCAGAATATATGTAATTATACATTTAAAGTCATAGGAACATCATTAATTAATTAATCTCATATTCTGCTGTTTGTATTCAGAACCGACACACACGATATGCAGTTTAAAACGTTTCCAAGAGAAGGAGTTTTCGACGCCGTGGCTTCAGTAACAGTCAACGTCTCTGACCTTGAAGATTCGACTACGTTCGATTGCGAACTCAAGATACCCGAGACAAATTACACTGTCAAGAAATCAGTAATCCTCAGCCCGGGTGAGTACCACATCTATTTATTTATGGTTTGTTTAATTCCGCTGTCAGTTACTCGGCTATATAAAGTCGATTAATTGGATAATTAATAAAGGATCTTTTGAAAATTATATGGAAATGATCCATCGTGACTTAATTTTAGGCACTACTAACCTGGTATTTACCTGGAAGGTCTGTGGAATACCACAAAATATCTCTGTTACAATAGGTGATCTTCAGGCTAACATTTGACCTCGGGACCTTGCCGAATAGTGCTAACCACGCGGCCTTGACTTTCGGTAATTACGGAAACTGTGCAATTCTCTTCAAAGAGTGGCAATTTGAGAATTACCGTGTGTAGTGAGAGACTTAAAATGCGTCAATTAAGTGAAGTGAAACTGAAATATTAACGATTACTTACTTTATTTTTAATGAATCCAGAATCTGGTCGTTTTTAAAATTAGGATATTAAGTTCCTACCATTCTTTTTCTTAGTTTCCAACATACTGTAATGATGAAGTTCGCCTTTGTAATCTTTGTCCGGTGCAAGAAGTATTGCTCAGTGTCTTCAATAAATGGAAACAATGAGAGAAGTTTATTTGTTTAATTGTACGCTTTCTTGGCAGCACGGTCACGTACGTAGTTCTTAAAGTGCTCTAACTTCATGATTGCAAGTTCCAATCCCACTCGATAAAGTTGTGCTGTGCCATCTTACGTAGCTGAAGTACGTATCCTCACTTCCAAGGAGCCAAATGGCATGTCTGATTTTTCAGATTTGATTCTAAATCCAACCAAATCACAGATATTAACTCGTGAGGTCTGAATAATAATGTTTAATATTATTAAATAAAAGCTTTAGGTGTTTGCCGGACCTTAGTAGGCTTCTGATCTGTAATCTGAGCAAAGCACAACACAACTGATCTCACAGATTATGCACTGATTTCTCCTATAGACGTAGGATCAACAACCAGAAGCTGTTTTATAGAAGAGAGACCTCATTACACCAGTTTTATTTTATCATGCGACACAATTTTCGAACTTACACGAAACATTGGCGTACGCGACCAAGCCAAATACAAGGCAAAACTGCTTTGTCTGATGTTACAAACAGTTCGCCAACTTTTTATGTATTCCACTTTATTTAACTTCGTGTAACAAAACCAAGAGATCTATATGCTGTTTTATTAAGGAACATGAATTTGAATAACTCATCAGTGTCCTTATAATATTGGTTTCCGTTACGTATAAGTCTGATTTCCTTATATAAAAACTAACAATGCTTGCATAAAACAATTCCCAGAACCATTTTCTGAGCTGCAATTATTTCGTTAAAGAAGTGGCAGACTTTGTATTTCTCTGATGTGTGTTTTTCTTTACATACACAATAGTATTTAGGTCACAGACGTTTATATTATGCGATAACGAAACGAAAATTCTATACCTGCAGCCGGCCATATATTTGCTGTGTCATTATTAAACATCAACGGAATGCATGTTTTAGAAAACATTTCCGTATGAAAGAGGAACTTCAGATATCATCCACTCCAGCACGTGGATTGTATGGGATTAGTGAAACTGCTGTGTGACGAAATTTCTAGTTTTGAAATCAAAGCAACCCTTTCATTGTTGTTTAACATAAAATTAATATTCTTGTGTTAAAACATTAGCAAGGTACCGTGTATTTATTATTCTTCGGAAGCTATAAATAATTTAACTTGGCTGTTGTGAGGTGGTGGGAGACATTTTACTGCGAGGTACAATCTTGTGTTCCGCTTGGAATACTTCGCTTGTTTGCAAGCCAAGCGTGATGATTGCTACAGTAAACAGACTGGTAGCACGCGTTCGTTCCACGGAAATAAGCAACAAGGTGAGGGGCCAGTGGGGGAGGGGTTCTTTTTAAATGTCGTGACCTCACGTCATGAGGTCGGTCAGTAGATAGGAACTGGTTCATCACCGGTCTTTCATTGAGCGAGAGGAAATTAGTGGCAAAACAAAGTCCTCTGCATGGCACGAATTTTGGTATTAAGTGCTTTCGCAATGGCGATGGGGTTGCCTACATAAAATCTATTAATGAACATTAAACTTTGCAAGGAAGTGGTCTTAAGAGAAAAGTCCAGCGACTCAATTCTTGTTGCCCATTCATTTGTTCATGAATTAATTAATTTATTCATTCATTGATTTGAGCAGGTAAGGTAGTAATGAATCCGGATTTGTCTGAGACTAGGTCATTCCTTTACAAGTGTAGGAGCTAATGTAATTCCTGATAAACCACAGTAAGATTATCTGGTTTTTAAAAAATCAAATTTGAAGCTGTCTGATTCCCATAGCAGAATATGAAAAAAACGTTCAGACGCAGGGAATATTTTAGTAGCCCGGTATTGTCGGCTCTGAGCGTGTTTCAAACTCACAACTCACTTGTATTAAGTATCGCGACATAGCTGCAGTTACTGGCATCTGACACGCCACAGGCTACTGAGGAACCTTGTAACCTGGTCCCCCCCTCCCTTTGTGTCGATGTATTTAGAGGCTTCGTTGTGAAATTGTTGTTATTAATTCAAACCAACGATACCTTATTACTATAATACTCGGGGAATATTTATTAAAATGTATTCAGTGTATTCCTATACTTTAGACTGTTCATTTAAACTATGCAAGGGGTGGGGGTGGTTTTCAAATAACAGGATATTCAGTTTGAGATAATCCATTCTGGAGGCATTGCTATAGAAAGAGCTGTAACAACAATTAATGAAATTAGAAGACTTCTATGAATATTTAAGTACTATTCGTCTTGGTAATCAATACTATAATTAATAAAACAGATTTACAAATTTTCTATGGGTTTATGTGAAAATTGATATATAATTAGTAAGTTTCCGACGTATTTATATTTTAAAGTAAAACCTCGAAAAACTGTTAAACATACCTTATTTACAAATTTGTTGCATAGAAGCTGAAGTAGTGTTAAGATCTGGTCGATTATCCGCAATCATAGACGTCCAAGACCAGTCTTTCCTTTCGGTTGATATAAATAAACTATTCTCAGACACAGGAATTTTCCATGTATCAGATTTTGTATTCTCTTTTTGTATTTATACAAACTATATAAGCAGTCAGCCGCGCCAGTTTTGAACAGAGCAGTTGGACGTATGAATCAAATTGACCCGGCTGATCGCCCATGAAATTTTATATCGTTCAGTTTCTGTAAAAAGCTTCACGTCTAATATGTCACTTTCCTTTTTTCGACGTTGTAACCTACTTACTATCACGCAATTTGTTACCAGCCACTATTTTCATGATGCTTGTGGTTGCCTATATGAACATCATCAATTGCATAATGCATATCTTACGCTACATAAATAAATCCATTGTCTTTTCTTTTACTTCAACAGTGATTACAATTTTTTGCATTCTAAGATTTAATGTTTTTGTCTATCTTGATTTTTCAAAATGTAAATCATAGTCTTGGAAATAAAAGGCTATGCTGGATTTAAGGTTTTCACTGCGCGGTATCTGAAGATGGATGTCTTCTGGGTTGTAGCACGATGAGTAACTTACTCATTGCCCTGAAGATGGTGGCGGCAAGGACATCTGAGTTGTTAGTGAAGTTCTGCCAGACTACACGAAACTACAGCCCAGATGATAGCCATCAAAAGACCATATTTTGTTGGCAGGAACAGAATTGGTAAAGTTTCTGTTGTCGATGTATGGAACTGTTACAATCTAACTTCAGCTTTAACAAAGCGCATTAGGTGACCTTAAATATCTTTCTGGAGGATAAAGATTTGAAAGCTGCCCTCGAACCCGAGTTTTCCCTCGCCTAGGATAATCCGACTGTAACATTCTTTTGGACAGCGTGGATTCTGTAAAGACGAAAACTCATACCGTCAACGTAAATCCAGTGAAGTCGGAAATGCTATTGTAATTATTTGCATTTGTAAATTGACGAGTGTTTAGAAAACATGTAACATATAAGTTGAAGGAGAATTTAATTTCATCATTATTTCCTTTTTAGGATCTAAAATAACACTGTCGTTTCTCATTTTACTTTCAGCACATAACTTAGCGACACGAAGCCTTTCGTTTTATTTAATTACCTCTACCGTAGTAAAAATGGCCTTCTATCACTGTTTACTTTAGATAGTTAAACGACTTCAGATTATACTGTAAAATCTGAATTAGAAGCACTGTTACTACACCGCAAAGCAAATAATTCGTGTCATAAAGACAATAGTTCGTATCTCATATCTGCTCAATGGTGTTAACGTCCTCGTATGGAATTTGTTGGATTCCTCGCTGAAATCTACGAAAGACCAGCCCGTTTAAGAGTCATGCACACATTAATGACGCATTTTACTTGAATCTAGTGTGATGCTACTTAATTTACATTTGACATCTGGTCTTCTTGTAATACTTGAAGAAGTAATTAGCATTTATATATCTCACGAAGTACAGAACTTTCATAAATTGGGTGTGGAATTCGCAGCTATGCTGCTGACGATCTGCTTTATGACGCAGCAGCTAACAAAGACACGCCATTTGAGAGACGTCGTCACAAGAATGAGATGGCTGTTATAGTGATAATCGTTTTGTCGTTCTGATAATTCCAGTTGAGAATAACGTTTATGTATTATAGCCCCAAGACAAGCAGTTTTCGTGATCCAAGTTTCACAACTCAAATAAACTTAAAGCTGTAGTACATGATCAGATTGTAAGGAAGCCTTTAGGAAAAAATAAATTTCTGATAATAATTAGGAATCGTTTCTAAATGCGTCTATTTTACTCCGAGTGGTAAAATAACTTATTCACGGAGACAAAGCGCAGGTATTAATTTGTAAAATTAAGTTTATTTTAAAGTCGTCGCGTTGACAGGTCTTTTAAAAGCGTTTCCTTATATTTATCAGTGTAGCAGTATATACCAGTGCTTATTCTGCATTCTCGTTTTGTGCCATTTTATGATTTATATTCGATCACGGCTCGTTCTACCTCCACTCCTTCCAAGCCGTTCTTTTCATAAGGAGATCGTT